AAGTCAGGACCTGGGAAGCTGAAAGTGCCATTTCATTTTAGTTTTCAATTGCTTTATGAAAATAATCCTCAGAATAGCTGGAGGCATCCGGAAAGAACAGCTGGAGAATGGAGAGATGCGGAGGGGTGGAAGGGCTTTGCCAGCATTGTAATGAGTCCTGCGGTGCAGATGGATAGAGCCATCTTTCCCCAGCACGTCCCAGCATCCAGGGATCTGCTGGAGGCTGTTCCCACCGCTGGTGTCCTCAGCTGCTCGTAGGTGTGTTGCCCCCAGCTGCCTCCAACTCTGCTCTGGCTTTAATTGTGAGAACAAAAACCGGCGATGAGTTGGCCAAATGGCTGCAGCGCTTGGTGCAAAGGGGCTTGGTCTAAATGTTCCTGACGTTTGCCTCAGACCTGCTGCACAATGGCTTCACTGGGTCTCTTTCTTTCAGGTTGCTCCAGATATTGCTGGCTGTTTGCAGTGTTAATGGACATTGAGCTGTTTTCAGATAAATGGTGATAGGATGGGGTGTAACGGTTTTAAGCTGAAGGAGGGGAGATTTAGATGAGACGTTGGGAAGAAATCCTTCCCTTTGAGGGTGGTGAGGCCCTGGCCCCACTTGCCCAGAGAAGCTGTGGGTGTCCCCTCCCTGGAAGTGTTCACGACCAGGTTGGATGGGGCCTGGAGCAGCCTGGGCTGGTGGAGGTGTCTCTGCCCATGGGGATTGGACTGGGGGAGCTGTGAGATTCCTCCCACCCAGTGCACCCCGATCCATGGAAGCTTGGGTTTGGGGTTTTTTAGGAGTTTTTGCTGAGATACCTCTTGTTACAATTATAAAAAGAATAAAGAAGGAAAAATAGAGGTTTACTGTTGAGTCTGCTGACTGTGCTACGGGGGCTCCAGGAGCGCGGGTTCTCTGAGCAGCTTTGCCAGGCATTCTGCAGAGCTGTACATCAACCAGTAATGCACACACTGCCTTTATTTTTAGGTTCAGAACAAATGGTGCTGGAGGAAGATAAAATCCATTTAAATATGTGGATAGACATTCTATATGGTATTTTGACTCTACGGATCTATACGGGCACATATCAGACAGCAGACTGCCATGCATTTAATTTGACGTATTTATACATATATATTAATGAATCTTTTTTTTATATAAAAGCACACAAGCCCCATTGCCAACACCATAATATGTAATTTCGACTTTGTAACCTATCAACTACTTGCTGATGTGGCCTGGGAGACAAAGTACTGCCTCTGCTGGAAGCTGAAGAAATGCCACAGAATTTTCCTGAGAGTAATCTTCAGAGCCCCAGCACGATAGATCAGAGGCACAGGCGCAGACACATAATAAAAAAAAATAAAATTGACTGCCTAGCCCAGGCCTTCATTACCAGGCAGGATACAAATCCTAGCGAGTAACTTTCCCTCACAGGCAAACATTCCCTCAGTAACTTGAAAATAAAAAAAAAAAGAAAAGGAAAGAATAAAGGCTGCCTTTTTAAGCCAGAATGACTCTGACTTTGCACTGCACATCCCTCAGGCAATAAAGTAATTTACAGGATGTTTCAATCAGATATTGGAACCAGTGCTTGCTTGAATCACCTCAGCTTCACTGGAGTTTTAAATACATGGTGGTGGCAGCTGCATGGGTTAGCAGCACCTCCACCTCCCAGTTCCACCTCTCACATCACCCAGTCCCAGTCCCACCTCCCACATCACCGATTTCCACCTCCTAGTGCCACCTCCCACATCCCCCAGTCCCTCACAGGGTGGTCTGCTAGGCGATGGTGTGGTCCTCTGCGCATCTGGAGCCTCACCCCTGATGAAATGGTGTTACCTGACCTGGTTTCTCATTTACTGGTCTTGTTTTCTGCAGTGCAAATCCTCTCCCAAGAGTATTTAAGGTATTAAACATAGATTGTTGCTGGAATAGCGTTCCTGTTGGGTGGATCAAATAAAAAGTGGCCACGAATGCAATAGAAACCAAAGCAGAGGCATCATTTTTTCTTATTTATTCCTGTTGCTGAAGCTGGGAGAGAGAAACTAATTAATTTGCTTAGGCTAGAATGCAAATTGGAGAAACCAAATCAGCAGGTAAAGCCTCTGCTCAAGGCCACACAGTCAAAATAAATTCACTCAATAAAATGTTTTCTCCTCAACAAACTTTACAGTAAAGACCTCGATGTGTTCTGTGCCGTGAAGAGCAGCTGTCTGCTTTAAAGCAAACAGGCGTCCTTGCTGTCATTTCTCTTGATAGCCAAGGAGCCTTCATTTCCCATTTTATAATCCTTAAGACATGAATGTACTTGGGCTACAAAATTCATTAAAAATTAATATAAAGCCTGTTCTAACTCCAGACTATTTGCTTCCCAAAGATAATTGTTTAAGAGAATGAACTGCACTCCCTTTGCGGCTTTTCTGTATATTTTTCTAAAACTAATACCAGAATTATGAAAGACAGGAATAAGTACAGCAAAGTAAATTAAATCAAATTGCTAAAGCCTTGGGGTAGAGCTAGTGCAAGTGACTTAAACACATATAAGTTCCAAAAAGCTACAGTTAGGTTTCCTTCTGAGCATCATTTCCCTCAGAAGATGCCTGTAACACAAGCACCTTCGCTAGCTGCAAAATCACTGTCTTGTAAAAAACACCAAAAAAGACCAGAAAAATAAACTGTTAGCTCTGGCTACTATCATTTATTGTAGTTTTTATCATCCCTTTCCTTTTGCATTGAAGTTATTACCTGCAAGAGTGTAACTCTGAAACCAACAACCAGAGTTAATTTTCTTTTGCTGTCACTGGGTATCATCTCTTCATGGATAGATGGAAATTCTGTCTTTTAAAGACTATTTTGACCTTAAAGGCAGGGGAAACTTTATTTAAAAGCTATTTATAAGGCTGAAGTTTCTTATAGGTAAATAAACCAGGGGAAGAAGAGAGAGGGGCCTGAATACCAAGTACATGAGGAGGTCATGGATATGGGATTGTCATGGCTGAAATGGGAAGAAAACCTAAATAACTTATTTCTCAGGGTGGAGAAATGACTGTAAATAGTAAATATTAATAAATTTGATTAATAATTTCTCTGGTATCTGTTATATATCATGGTTTAGAAGGTATTTGAACAGTATGAACAATTGTAAGACAGGATGGTTAGAGAAAAATAGGAGAATCTTAGAAGAAAGCTGAGATCTGGCACTCCTTTTTTTCCCAGAATAGCTCTTATCTTTATGCCAACAATTCAGCTGCTTTTGGGCACTCTGAGTGAGGCAGAGTAAGAGGGAGAAATTGTATGGTGAGGGCAGATGAAGGCACTGTTGGGTTGTGTTGGAAGGGCAAACAGCAGGATGGTGGAATTTCTTACAAATTTATCTTTCATATTTATTTTATTCTGTACCTGGGCAGAAAGAGTAGTCATGGTGTGATGGAATTTCCTGATGACACAAAATTGGGGGATCTTATCAATGGAAAGCAGGCTTGCGGTATGGAGGATTTAGGATTTCTGGTCTTTTATTTGCAGTTATGTGTGGTTGTACCAGTTAAGGATCAGGCATCAGAATTCTAGAAAGCCAAATGGTGTTTAATCTGTGAAGACGAAGGGTTGGGCTGGGATCAATGGGGTTTTGACTCGGTAATTTCCACATTATCTCTTCTTCACCAGTCATTTATTCGGGAATCTTACTCTCCAGAATTGACTTTAATGTCGTGTGCTCTGTGTTTAGCTAGATTCTGTGAAGATCATTCTATGCAGAGCTCATCAGGGGTTTTATATATTTATGGTTTATGTCTGTAAGACAGCACTTTCTGTATGGATGAGAAGATTTCTATCTTACCAGCATAGGAGGCTTTCAGAGTTTCTTCTGTCTCATGAACTAAAGAATGAGCTGTGGTTTTTTAAAAAAGCCAGAATGTTTTGTTGCTGTTTTGCATGCAATTGCGAACACGTACACGTTTTTTCATGCACGCTACCTAGTCTAAATAGCTGTGCTGACAAGAGCTGAGTGCCAGCGTTATTCTGTCCAGGTTGCCCTTACTCTTCTGTAATGATCAAGTGATCAAAAGGCAAATGTGGAGGGTGAAGTTGTGTTTTTGCATACACTGTATGTTGGCCATATTTTATTTATTTTTTGTTTTGCTGGAATCAAAAGTCTGTCAGATTTTGTAGCTGCGAATCTAAATTATTTAAAACGCAGTTTAATTCAAGCTATGAGAAGATTTCCCATTCTGTGCTTGCTGGAACATCAAACCAACACCTGAGCGTCCTGGAAGGAGGAACATATGGATATGTATTTGTTAAGGCCTGAAGGCAGCTGCTGGGGTGCGTGTGTCTGTGCTGCTGCCTTGATCCATCTTCTGTCATGCAGAGTCAGATCCCCGCTGAACAGAGCATCACTGCCTCAGCTCCATGCCAGGGCTGTTGTTGCCTTGCGCACTTTACCTCCACCGAGTTTGAAGCTTTTATCTCTTTTTCTCCCCTTTCTCCTCCTGGGCTCCATGGTCAACAGGACTTCTTGCTGCAGCTCGTGCAGTAATGTCAGTGAAGCAGCACGGTGTCATAAAGTCCTAGAATAATTTGGTTGGAAATGACCTTTAAGATCATCAAGTCCAACTGTACCCTGTCCACCACTAAACCATGTCCCTAGGCACCTCATCTCCCCGTCTTTTAAACACCTCCAGGGATGGTCCCTCTCTGCCATGTAGCTCTCCAGCCACTCACCCCCAAGCCTGTAGGGTTGTATGGGGTTGTTGTGACCCAAGTGCAGGACCCAGCACTTGGCCTTGTTGAACCTCATGCAATTGGCAGGAAACGTCAATAAGTAGAATGCTTTCGGTGTGTACATTTCTGTTAGGAGCTGATCGGTATCTGTCGAGGTTGTACACTTGGTGTTATCGAGTTCCACTCTCATGGATGCTGCGTTAAGCTGTGGTGCTCTGCCCTTTCAGCAGTGGCTGGTTAACACTGTGTTCATTTGCTAACGAATCTCCTGCTCTCCCTTCCTGTCTCCTTGCAGACCCCCCTGCAGTGGAGCCCACCTTCCTGGAGATTCGGCAAGGTCAAGGCCGGAGCATCACCATGAGCTGCAGGGTCCTGAGGGCATATCCCACCCGGGTCCTCACCTATGAATGGCGCCTGGGTAGCAAGCTGCTGCGCACCGGGCAGTTCGACGTGCAGGACTCCACCGAGTACACAGTCAGCAGCCTTTCCCGTGACAGCTACGGCATCTACAACTGCAACATCATCAACGAGGCGGGCGCTGGCCGGTGCAGCTTCCTGGTGACAGGTAGGCTTGGAGATGTCAAGGTGATGGGCTGACTTGGGTTGTTTGGTTGGTGGTGTTGGGTCATGCTACTCCTGCCTCAGCTAACGAATTAGCAAAGAGATGCATCCTTCAAGGTAGAATCACGGCTTAGGGCATCTGGTTTGGATTCTGGGGAGATTTAGCTTATTTCAGGGGTTTGAGGATACAGGTTTTTACATGCAAAATGTACATATCCCATCTCTGCAGGCATCGGCCAGTATGCTTTTGAGAGCCATCAGGAAGCAAATTTCTTCTATTTGAAATTTGCAATGCGTCTTGAATTTCCTCTTCGCTTTTGGTGTGCTCAGCGAGCTCGGGGACCGGGGTGGACAGACCACAGTCTCGAGCAACTTCAAGCTACCTTAGTACAGAGGGGTGTTGAAACATGTTCCTTGTCTCAAAAAGCAAAGGACTTTGTGGAGTTACTACACAAGATCACAGACTCAGAGAGGGTGTGCAACCCCTGCAATGACCTAACTATTTGGTGTAGTTAACACTCTGGATTGAGATGAGCATTATACATCTTTTATCTGTAGTATCTTGGATCTGAATGATAAACTGGTTGTTTAGACATGCAAGTCTTGATTCTGCCTCTGTTGGAAATAAAGTACTGTGACTCAAAATCTCACCCGTCAGAAACTTGAGAAGGAAGATGAGAAAAGAAACCAAGAAACAAGAAATTCAGAATTTGTAGAGGAGAGCTGTCTTAGGAGAAAAGATTCCCCATCTTAGTTGGGATTCTTTTCTGGTTTAACCGGCTTGGGTACTTTTGGACTTAGTTGAATGGCACCTTGTTGTCAGGGATGTCATCGGGCCAACAAATGTGGTGGGAAGACAGTGAGCAGCCCGATGACTGATGGTTCTGCTTCTTCCAAAATGTAATCAAGCCTCTGGCTGACTGCTCATTCAGAGCCTCCACGGAGGTATTTTCACAGCCCCTGGCTTCTCCAAATCTTTGGGGTTTAATCCAAAAGGCTGGTCCGAAGGAAACCAGAGAAAGAGTCTTTTTCCTCAAATGAGTAAATGCAGTTCAGTTTATTGTTCATCACGCTTTGGACCCAGACTGTGGAAACCTATTCTGAGTCAATTATTTTGCCAAGATTGGGGCAATCTGAATGGCTTTCTGTGATTTATTACCATGCCAAAGCAAGCCACGTAACTGAAAATGAGTACTAAAAGGGTTTTACGATCTACTCCGTCTCACATTCCTCTGTGTGCTGTGCTCATTTCTGTTTGATACATTATGCGAATTTATGCTGTGTGGTTGTATTAAGGATGCTGAAGGTAACACGTTGGGTTATGACTTCTGTGCTTTCCTCAGTCTTTTAAGGTTAACACCAACATGTTTAGTATATATATATTCTTTGACGTGTGGGGTTGAACGTGCTCTTAGGAAAGAGCAACAGCTGTATTCTGGTCCCACGTCTCATCAGGGCACATAAAGTTAAAGCGCTAGGGAACGGAAAACGCACAGAAGAAAAATGACACAGTGGTTAAAAAGGAGGTGTACTTTTCACCGGGAATGGGAATACAGAGAAGAAATAGGTCCCTTCTTAGACACACACACACAGAAAAAAGCCAAATAAATAACCCTATGGCAGGAATCTGGCGATAGTGGGGAGCTTTTCTTTTGGGTGGGATGATGGGAGTTGTCGTAGCCCATTTTTAGTTGGTTTTATTTCCAGGTTTTTGTGTAGTAGTGATGTGCTGCAATGCTCACGTTGCAGGGGCTGCAGAGAAGCATTGGTATGCTCAGAGAAGGGTTTTCAGTACAGTATTAAAAGCAGCCTAGATGAAAAGATTTATACTGGCCCTAGAGTTTGCAAAACCTATTTTTACTGTGTTTGTATTTTGAGCCAGATTTGAGAAGATGCAAGCAAAATAAATCACATGTTGGAAAAGGGGTTGATTTATATCAGGTGGGGCAATCTGAGGCAGCTTAACCTGCGACTGTCTTAAAAATAAATAAGAACACACAAGCAGAATTGTATTTGCGGTAAGCAGAGTTGAGTTCATGCTGTTTGCAGCTTCATAATCTATGTATTTTATTCAGTAGTTGCTAGTGCACATCACATCCAAAGAGCAACAAAAACCACATTTCAGGCAGGGTGTTGTTAAAACCCTTCCAAGGCTGGAAGCAAATATGGAATTTTTTTTATTTATTTTTTTTTCTGTTGAAATTTACTATGCTGGTGGCTGCCTCGGGCTGAATTGTTCACAGGAGCTGCTGCACGAGGGAAGGATCCCTTCCCTGGTCCTGCTACCCACACTATTTCTGATACAAGCCAGGGTGCTTTGGCCACAGGGGCACCATCTTAAAATCAACTGCAGACACTTGAAATTGCAAAGTCTGGAGTTCTTCTCCGTGGCCCTGTTATCTGAATTAAACAGTGTTCTGTCATTTAGAGGTTTATGGCTTTGTTAATCTTTTTTTATTGGGGAAGATCTTTTGTGTGGAACTGAGGGACAGAAGTGTATATTGTTTTAATACACATTTTAATTTGTTTCTTGAAAACTCCATGGGATTCAAGCAACAAGCAAAAATCCTGTTTTAGAAAACTTGCTGGGAAGCAGGTTCATTGTACTCTTTTTACCTGCACAACCCCAAAATGCCAGGATTTTGTCAACGAACTGTTTTCACTCTACAGTGGGGTTTTTTGTCAGTGTGAAGGTAGCTTCCCAAGCAAGTAACTCAGAGGCTGAACTGTTTATGTGTTAGCTGGAAGACGTGGCAATGCCTCTGATGTCCTCTCTGTTCTGTCCATCATGGAACGATTGACCAGTCAGGTTTTTTGGTAGTGGCTTTTGGATGAGTACAGTGAAATGGACACATAAGGAAAGCTCATTGGCACGTGTGGAAGTAGAAACATAGGCACCAAGAATAATCTTCATACCTAAAATATTTCAGAGTAGTTCTCCTAAACTACCAAAAGATTAACTGGTGAGTTGAAAACAATTACTCACTTTTTTTTAGTAAGGTGTATGCATGCATAGTTTAAATGAGTATTCTTATTACTTTGGTGAAGTTTAAAGGTATAAAAGCCCATTCTGTTTTTCCTGTAGCCCCATCTCTTCGCACACTCTCAGCTTAAGGGGGCCATCTATACTACTTGGTAATCATAACTGAAGGGCAAAACCAGGTCCCTGGCAGAAATACAGAAACATAAGATTTTGACTCATTTGAGGTGTGTGCCAATTCATTTTATGCTCATTTCTAAACCAAAATACAAACCAGAACTGAAGCAAACCCCCATGGCGTGAGTATTCCTCCACTGAAACGCTGCTGTCCTCCCCCACCAAAAGGGCAGCTTCTGCCAAACAGACCCACGAGCTTCACACATGCGCAAGTGGGGGGTAATAATATGATTTTATGCTCTAATTCTTTGTCTGGAGAGCCTTGCAGTAATCATGCTGTTCTCACGAGCTAGCCGGGAGCATCCAGCCAGTGGTCCAAGGGAACCTACCCCTGTTTGAGGATGGTGCTCCTGTAGTCCAGGCTCCTTGGCTCTTTGCTTGGAGACGTTGAAGGCTGTTATCTTCTCTTTATCATAGTTACCATATCTTGTTGATATGAAGACATTCAGTGTGGCCAAATGGGCTCCACAACTTCCCAGGAGAGGAGGGGGCCAGAGTCCTGCTCCATTCCCCGCATCCTTTGGGATGGATGTACCTGCCCATGCGGAAAATACCCAACCCCTCACATCATCCACTGCTGCCTGGTGATGACTTAAAGGAAGGCATCTACTCAAAATCTAATTAGGCTCAAGAGTCATAAAACCATAAGTCCATGTACTGAGTCCTGTCCCTCACCCTCTCTCATTAATAGGAATATTTCCAGTTGTACTTTTCAGGCTTAAAACTGTTTTTTTTTCTTCTTCTGCTGATGTCCTCAATAAATTTGCAGGGACATTGACTGCATAGCTGGCCATCCTGGGTCAATCAGCACAAGGTGCCAATGAAAAATGAAATATGGAAAAATACTTTTCCTCTTTTCCTATTCTACACCATGAAGGATTTCTCTATTTGCAACACTAAAACGCCTTTGGTTGGGATAAAAAGTGTATGCATTTCAAGTGGTTGTGTCCTTTTAATTTTAAAAATCGGAACAGGATGGTAAATGAGAGTCACAGGCATGGTACTGGGGTGTGTTAGAGACAGTGGATGGTCCTTTAGGAGGCTTATATGGGAAAGGCAAGTGCTGTGCTGGAAATACAGACATTTTCTTTTCTTAGAATAAATCAAATATTCTCCTTGGTAGATACACTTCTGTTCCTCTTATGCACATTTCCCTCAGTGGGAATTAAGGAATTATATTTGCTATGTTCTTTTAAATATTTATCTTTTTCTTTTAATATGTGACATTTTCCCTCCAAACCGTTTACTGTCGATATTTTTGGCAGGGTAAAACCCTGGTTCGCCTGAAGTCTAAAGAAAACTGATCCACTTTGGTGAATTCAAAATCTGTCGTGTAGAGTCGGTACCAGAGGGCTTGAGATTTGGTATTTTGTGGTTTTTTGTAACCAAATCTTCCCTGTTTATACTTTGTACTTCTCCAATCTCACGATATCTCCCCAATGCCTTCTTGCATCCATCCTCTGTGTCCTCTCTGTTCGAGCAAGTCCCTGCACAAGGCTGCGGGAGCCCTGCAGCAATGTGCTAGTGCCCGTTAGCTGCCTGCCATTAATTTTTAATCTAAAGATCTTCTCCTCAGTGTTATTATTCCTGTTTGTTTATTTCAGCTTCTTTATTTTGCTCTTGAGTTTTGTTTTTTTTTTGTCATTTTATCGTCTGAATGTGGAGCAGGGGTGGTTGTTGCAGCTGGGTGCCCCAGGGGCTGCTGCTGAAGGGTAGCACAGGGCGGGTCTTTGCCAGCTTTATTTAATTTCTTAATTTCACTGTTTTCTCCCTTAGAGTAGTTCTTAGGCACTTGATATCCTTTCCCTCCGGCTTAAACCAAATTTAGTACTCAAACAATGCAAGAC